ATGCGGTTTGTTGTTTTTTTACGTTATTTTTTTTTTTGTTTTTTTTTTTTTTTTTTTTTTTTCATGTGACCAGACCAGCATTCCCTCATAAAACATTAAACACACATGGTCAATGCAACACAACAATGTTAAAGTGGGCCAGGAAATACCCCCACTCTCTCCTCATGTAACCTGGCACAGCAGTCCCATGGCTGCCGTGGACTGACCCTGGGTTAAGAATATGCATCTAATATAAGATCTATTTATTAATCAACATTATTTATGCTGTGCACTGCTCTGTTTATGGAACTAGTTTAGGGATTCTGTAATTGGATTGATGAGAATGTATATTTGGTTGTTCCCCAATTAATTCAGTGACTGTTTATGATAACTGGATGCCACATTAACCTTGCATATCAGACAGATTTCAGCTATTAGTTATATATATTACATATTCAAGATGCAATTTTAGCTATTTATTCTACATTATCTTACTATATATTGTAACATAATATAGTAACAGTTCCTCTGAATTTGTTACTCTGAAACAGTTACCTCAAAGAACAACTATTAAATGTACATTTTATTTTGAAGAACAGGCGCTGTTCAATATTATATTGTAGTAATTTATTTATAGATAATGTGGTAAACATAAATAATGCCTTAAACTTTATTGTACACTGGCTCAATTGAATTATAAATTCTGGCTTTACCAGCAAACACTAAATCTACGGAAAGGATATTGACAAAGTGATAAATCAGACACCTACCGCCCCCTAGTGTACACAAACTACACAGAAAGAAAGTCTACCATTTTAACTTGTAGTGTTGTTTTAGAATTAAATATTCTAGTTTTGTAATCTGCATACCGCAAGTCTTATCTCATACACTTTTACTCTTTAAACTATTATATTTATAGACATAGACATATTGCTGTGTAATTTAATTAAATCATGTGCTTGTTCCCTACATGAAAACAGAAATGAATAATAGTGTACATTATATTTCTTAAACTTAATACCCTGCAAACCATTACATGAAAAGGTTTTTAAATGGTATTTCCTATTTGTGTGTGTGTGTGTACTTGTTTATGCTACATTGTGGAGACTTAATGTCCCCACAAGTATAGTAAAACTTGATATTTTTGACATTGCGGGGACCGGCCTGCAGTCCCCACAAGGGAAAAAAGTTATTACAAATAGTAAATTATGTTTATCTGAAAGTAGAACAATGTAAACAGGTTTTCTGTAAGGGGTAGGTTTAGGGTTAGGTTTGTTTGGGGTTGGGTTAGGGGATAGAAAATATTGTTTGGTCAGTATAAAAGTAATAGAAGTCTATGGAAAGTTCCCACAATTCACAGAAACAAACGTGTGTGTGTGTGTGTGTGTGTGTGTGTGTGTGTGTGTGTGTTATTGACGTAATTCTCAAAACTTGTCAATATGTCCAGTTTATACTGTTTGCAATTATGTTGTTTGCATATAGGCCTAAAAGTATTGTGTTCATATATATTATTATTAGAAACAGAACATAATATAAATATTTCTTACAAATAGCTCATTCTAAGATAGCCTAGTTTACAACACATACACAGTTATGTTTTCAGGGTTGTGCAGTGTACATACCTCTTCCTGTCTGAACTCTTCTTGTTAATGTGAAAATCCAATTTAAAAAAAAACTTGATGATGTGTGTCCGCAAATCTGTTTAATTATTTCCATTTTCAGTTAGTCCATTACTGACATTGCAGGCGTTGATTATCCTAGTGCAGCCAATAGGCAGATGAGATTTTCCTTTCTCACAGTGACGTCATAATGAATCCCTTTTTGTGCTGAATTCATGATCCCCTCTCAACGCTGTTGCAGTGCAAAAATGAAGACGTTACTCCATTATTACGGATGTGGACTATATGGTGTTATATTGTTTCTTTGTATTCACATTTGATATATTGGATAAGCCTCTGGGCTATTTTAGTTTAACTAGGCCTAATAAGAATGTAAACCTGCCTACCTAAGGGTTGATGATTTTTTCATTTAACTGAATATATGAATGTACCTTGTCTTAAAATAAAAGCACCAGAAGCCATCTTTCATGTGAATAAATTAAGGGAACAATAATAGCCCAATGTCACCAGAACCGTCTGGAAAGTTGCTATGGAAACACATGTAGTATCTTAAAGACTTGCAGTTTCCACCTTTGTCCACTAGATAACGCTAGTGTATTCTATAAAGAACTCGTGTCCAGATTTGAGCGCACATTGTTGAAATCGAGCCTCCCCTCATTCATCCCCTAAACATCTGTTGATAATATGAAGAAATGAAGAAGCTTCGTGTTGCTTATCAATGTAAGTCTATCCCTGAAGTGCTTCCACATAGTTCGAATAATGTTATCAAGTAATTTTAAGATGCCATAACCTTTCAATGCTAATGCAGTGACAACTTGAAAATGCAGTGTGTTCCTAAAATTAACAATCACAAAGCTGGTTTGCTATTCTACTGATCGTCCTCAAAAAAGCACGGATATATGTATTTGTCAGATTTCCAAATTTAACGTTACACATTATTGCAACAATATTTTAAATATGCTGGGGCAAGTCGTTTTTTCCCCAAATGACCTTGCAGCTGAACTTCAACTCGCTAGAAAAAAATAACAAAAAAGTTACATATTGGTCCTACTATTTCTTTCAAATTAGCAATTTGTACGTAAACGTCTGTATCGCAGACACCAAATTTCTGGAAAACTTAACAGATCACGCGCCAAAGAATTTGTGTACTAGCTAAATTTAGTATACGAATAAAGTGCTAGGCGTGGATTTAATCGGGCTTGCTTATATATAACATACGTTCTATTTAATTCTGTTTTTATTTTTGCGCCTATATGACTACGTCTCGCGCTTCGATGATCTACAATCGCAACAATGGAAGACAGTTTAGAAAACAATCGCACATCACGTAATAGTAAAATCCACTGTCGTCGTTTCCAAATAAAGTGTTCCTCACAGATCTACTCAAGCCAGCGCGAGGGATGAGGATGTACTCACAGAGAAAGGTGCGCTTCTTTGGGTTTATAATTGTTGACGTTCTACATTCATACATCAGTAAGCTTCCCTGTGTATGCTTTATGGGGGCTGCAGTTGGTGTACTCTCCATCCTCTGAATCCAAATAGTCTGATTTAGAAAGGGACGCTTTGCTGTCACTCCTTTTAAATTCACCAAACGGGGGTTGCTGCTGGCCACACGTTACATGCGTGTACTGCATCTGCTCCTCGTGCTCGGTCTCCCTGTGATAGAAGTAATTGAAATTGGACACGATGACGGGCACTGGAAGCGCAATGGTGAGCACACCAGCGATGGCACATAAGGAGCCCACTATTTTGCCACCGATGGTGACTGGGCACATGTCCCCGTAGCCCACAGTTGTCATGGAAACCACTGCCCACCAGAAGGCTTCGGGGATGCTGCTGAACCCCGAGTCGGGGTCGTCTGTCTCGGCGAAGTACACGGCGCTGGAGAACAGTATTACTCCAATGAAAAGGAAGAATATGAGGAGACCCAGTTCTCGCATGCTCGCTTGCAGGGTCTTGCCCAAGATCTGAAGCCCCTTCGAGTGTCTGGAAAGCTTGAATATGCGGAACACCCGCACCAAACGAATGACCCTCAGGATGGCCAGAGACATCGCCTGCTGGCTGTTGCCCTGATGCTCGGCCAACTCCAGACCCAAGGTGATGAAGTAGGGAATAATAGCCACGATGTCAATTGTGTTCATGATATTCTTGAAGAAGGCGGGCTTGCTTGGGCACGCGAGAAACCTCACGAGCAATTCAAAGGAGAACCAGATTATACAAAGGGTCTCCACAATAAAGAAGGGGTCTGTGAATGGATTGGGCTTCTTTGAACTAGCAGTTCCATTGAATGCGAGGTGCTCCTCGTACTTTTTCCCGTCCTCCCTAAACTCTGGTAAAGTCTCCAAGCAAAAGATGACAATTGATATCAAAATGACGAGCACCGAGACGATTGCGATGCCCCTCGCGGGTCCAGAGCTCTCGGGGTACTCAAACAGCAGCCAGACCTGTCTCTGAAACTCGTTTTCGGGCAAAGGTCGCTCTTCCTCCTTGATGAAACCCTCGTCCTCCTTAAAATTCTCAATGACTTCTTCTCCTAACTCGTAGAATTTAATCTCCTCCATAAAGATGTCCACAGGAACATTGACGGGTCTCCTCAGCCTGCCTCCAGACTGATAGTAGTAGAGGATGGCATCAAAGCTCGTTCGGTTCCTGTCAAAGAAGTACTCGTTCCTCAGAGGGTCGAAGAAGCGCATTCTTTTCCTGGGGTCACCGAGTAAGGTGGCAGGGAACTGAGCCAGTGTTTTTAATTGGGTTTCGAAGCGCAAGCCGGAGATGTTGATAACCACCCGCTCGCAGCACTCCTGGTCTGCCCGTTCAGGGTCGTAAACATCTTGGGACAGGGCTACCAATGCCACAGTCTCGTCGAGGTTCTCCCCGGGCACCACAGTCATGTTTGTCCCCTCGAAAGGGCTAGTCGTTTTCGCGCCCCACTTCTCGCGCTGTTCGTAGAAGATAGTCAGAGCACTTGTAGAGCGGCGCGTGTCGCGTCACTTCGCGCGCATTTTCCTCAAGGAGGTTTCTCCACATTCCCTCCCCAAGCAGAGGCTGGCAGTCTGGTCGATTGGCTGTCACATTCACAGCATTTTTAGCAGCAATGCCCTCCCTCACTCTCTCGCTTTCTCCAAGCGCTATGGCAAGCCGTTGTAACATGTATTCCTTTAAACAACAAATCAAATGTTACAGGTGCTTTTTCATGAGTCTAATATTCTAGTATTCTAAGTATTCCAATTAAGATTATGTAGTTTTCAATTTCACTAGTAGTTTACTATTCCAGATGTGGATTAATTAATATTTTTGGAGCAGCTCCTCTTAAGTTGACCTATAAATGTTTTAAATAAATGTCCCTTTAAAAAAAAAAAGATAGGTTGCTCCAAAGACTTTTAAAAGGCTTTGGCATTTATGGTGCCATGTGTTCATTATTATGTTGTTGCATGCTGTGAATCAACAATAATTACCAGATATGCACATGAAAATGATCTAATAACTGCAAAACTCATTTAATCTGAAAAGGTTAACAGTACATTCTCTTAATTGTAAACACAAATAGTCACAATAATAAAACATAAATAAAACATTTAACTGGGAATTACGATACAAACACACATTGTCTATATTTCATTCTTTGAAGGCTGAATTCAATGACATCACAGCGGCATGATTGCATCACAGCGGCATGAAGAAGGCTGTCCAATTTCAAAGGCTGGTTTAAATGCAAATGCACCCTTTGTTTCTCGGGCCACAACCAGTACAAATCAGGGCCGTAACCACAATATACATTGAGGGGGACAAGTCCCCCCCAATAATCAGATATGGCCAAAATGTCCCCCCCAATATTTTATATTCCTGAAGCTCCTCTGCTGCACTGTGTTATGAACTGCTAAAATATGATGTTGTATACGATTAAAAAGTCATTTGTTTTTAGCATGGTCTGCCTCAGCTCTCTAACAGCGCTCGTCAATGTCAAAATGTTAGCCAATTAAATCAAAGAAGGCGGGCTTAACAGTTCGCAAAGAAGCAGCGCGTCGGTTTAACGGCTTCAGTTTTCAGCGGAGTGCGAGGTAAGATCATGCTAAGCAGTTAAACTTTAATATTTGACGGACATTTCACAAAAGCCTTTGAACATCAAGTTTTTTAATGAACATTTTGTTATAATTGAATAACCCTTTTGCCATTCCAAACCCAATTACTGTTTCTTTTCATAACAAAATGTTTTCCGCTCCAGTCTATTCAATAAAATAGTAGAATACAAGGGACAAATACGTTAAAGCATTAAAAAGGTGTACTAAAAGCACCATGTAATCCAAGTAGCCAGAGGTTTGTGTTGTATGGCCTGATTTTATTGCGCAGCTGTGTAAATATTCTTCAGAATAGGCCTACTCATTTTGTTTTTATAAATCCTAACAACATACAGGTTTGGAATGACTTGGGGGGGGGGGGGGGGGATTTTCAAAAGACAAGTTGCTATCTAATATAACACCCAGATTTTTGACTGTAGAGGAAGTAACCGTACATCCGTCTAGTTGCAAATTGTAATCCACGAGATTCGTTGTACTGTCTTTTGGTCCAATAAGTAATATCTCTGTCTTATCCGAATTTAATAGGAGAAAATTATTGGTCATCCAATCTTTTACATTTTTAACACACTCTGTTAGCTTAGATAATTTAGAAGTTTCATCTGGTCTTGTTGAGATATATAGTTGAGTATCATCAGCATAACAGTGGAAACTAATCCCGTATTTTCTAATTATATTACCAAGGGGCAACATGTATATCGAAAATAGCAGAGGACATAGGACAGATCCTTGTGGCACTCCATATTTTACTGGTGATTAACACTTCCAACAACTGTTCACCAAAGCTTCTGATCTAGTAACAAAGCTGGATCTGCAACCCATTCAGATGCCTCACATCCGAAAACAAGCCAAACGATACAGCAGTCAGACTGCACCTGATTTACATCCTAATGTCCAGTCCTACTTCAGGCCCCAGTATTACAGCTGCTTGGACACTGTGAACACCCAGATGACTGAAAGATTTGACCAAGATGGCATCCAAAAACTGCAAAAACTTGAGAATGTGCTACTGAAAGCTGGATTGGACAAAGTAGTGGATGAGTATCCTGAATTAAATTCAAGACAATTGCAGGTGGAGCTTAACATGTTTGAGGCTATGTACACCTTTCAAACTACTGCAGACGTTGCAGAAATCATTCGAAACATGGTTCCTGAAGTAAGAGGCCTTTTCAGTCAAGTTGAGACTTTAATAAGGTTGTTGCTGGTTGTCCCTGCTTCCTCCTCAGAAGCCGAGAGGAGTTTTAGTGCCCTGAGAAGGCTCAAAACTTGGTTAAGGTCATCAGTGAGTCAGACAAGGCATATGATGTTGCTAAAAAGAACATTATTTTGTGTATTTGGTGTAATGAAATGTGTTTTCATACTGTACATTATTGTTTCTCCTCTATGCTACAGCGAGAATAAAAGTTACGCCTTCTTTCTTTGTGTGAATTTTTTCATTTTAAATGTACTGAATATTTGTATTTATACTTTGGTTCACTAGTCTATTTTTCTGAAAAAAGTGATTGTGATGTGTATATATAGGACAGTTTTTAGCTGAAAAGATGCTTATTATAAACCATCAAAATCTGTGATATGCTCACTGACCTTGCTGTAGTTTTTGAGAAAAAAAAGTAAAGATCTTGTGTTTTGTGTGTGTGTGTGTTTGTGTATTGATAGATAGCCTAGATAGATAGATAGACAGACAGACAGACCAAACCCATCTTTTGGTCCCCCCCCCCAAAGTTTAAAGTGTGGTTACGGCCTTGATACAAATAATGGATCCTTATGGCCCAGACTATACCAAGATTCATTGCGCACACATGACGACTTGTTTTGTTTTTTTCTGAGAAAAAAATGCTGGATTACACTTTTAAATGTAAGTAATGAGTTTTGATACTTACAAATAAAAAACAAATAAAAAAACTTTAAAGCAGTTCAAATGTTGATGAGTTTATACTCTTAACCCTCTGATGCATCGTGGTCACTACAGTGGACAGATATTTGGAAGCCATTTTGAACCATATAAGATGTAGCATCATGTCCCAACCACCAACTAGCGAACCCCCAAAGTGTTGTCTACGATTCCATTTAACTGTTGTCTTTTTATCTATTTTTTTGTTTTGAGATATTGCATAATATATTCAAAATGGCGGCAGGAAAAGGTGATGCACCATGTACCTCGGGAATAAGTGTTAAATACTTTTATTCTCAGAAAACCAGACAGGTACAAAAATAGATTCATCCAGATTTTAACAATATTTTTCTTAAAATATATCTGTCCACTACAGCGGACGTCATGCACCAAAGGGTATAATTCTGCCTATGGGCATATACTGTATATAGGTTCTGCCTTATTTTGTGTTTTATTAAAATTATGATATAATTTACACTTGAATGGTTTTATTGAACTGAACTATTAAATAGTCTTCAGACTGTATCATTTATTTCAATGCTTACAGTCTATATTTATTTATTAGGTAATATAAAAGTGTAGGCATGTACAATCATGCACACAGATATATGTGTGCATGATTGTGTTCGAGTGTGTGTGCTTGTGTGTGTTTGTATCTGTGCTCACATGTGTATGAATAGCCCACCAACCCCACCCGCACCCGAACCTCCACCCCACACTTCTCCACAGCCCCAGGCCCATAGACACACACTCTTACATTTTGTTTGTTACACTTCACATTTCTTTGCCGTCATGACATAGCTTGTTGTTATTGAATGTTCTTATGTGTATTCAAACCATTTTTACATAGCAAATATTTTAAAAACGTGTTTTTTTAAGACCACACATTTATTTCTATTGATTCACTTTTTATACCTTTGATGCATGGTGTTCACTACAGTGGACATATATGTAACTCCCTCAAAATATAATATATATTTTTTGGCATGATTTTTCACTTGTTCAAAAACAAAAACAAACATGTAAAAAAAATATTACTATGTGATTTAATAATTCATGCATCAGAGGGTTAATTATGTACTTAAATATTTAGACGTGAACCTGCCTGTTTTGTTTTCAGACAGTTATATGTTTCATGTCCAAGACAAATATACTGCCGCTCATCAATGGCAGCTGTCACAGTTGATAGTTGACATCGCAATACTTTGCTATATTGTTTAACAGTGTTCAGTTCAACCTTCACGTATTTTGAGGGATGCAGTCCCTGAATTAGAATACAGATATTATTTACAGAATCACAAAGAAGCAATTACATTTTTGCAAGTGGTACTTGACTGGACAATAAATGTAGGTAAAGTGTACTAGTAACATAAAAAGAGATACATTTCATTTAAGGGCTAAATGCAAAAACAGCTTGCCATAGAGGGCTGTTTATGAATGTACACATTTGGAATTATTATGGGAATGCACATCCAAATCCAAAGTTTAAACAAACCGTTCTTCGCATAATCTTTGGTGGCAACGTTTAGTTGCATTGAAGTTAGTTTGTAATTTCATTTGTATTTTATTGATTTACAAAGTTATTGGAGCACAAAGCGCAATTGCTCTCTACGTTTCAGATTCTTCTCATTCCTGGTTAGACTGTGCTTCATTTTAAACTGTATTTGTAGCAATCTTATGACGTCATTGTTCAAATACTCCAAACTATAAAACACTTGCAGCGATTATGCAAGTGTCTGAAAAGCTCTAAAATGCTTCAACAGAACATTCAGTGATGGGTGGAGTTGTGGGCCAAGTTGAAAAGAATGACGTAGAGACCCAAAATAGAAATAGATTTCTTTTCCCATGGAGTAAATCCGGGAGCAGCACATGGGGAGAAAAAAACTACACAAGGGCCATACCCTTTGTTAAAAAGACATTTGCATAGTTCATAGATTTTCAATTAATTCATTCATGTTTGAGTGACACTGCCGGTTATTCAAATTGTCTTAAAACAGACAGAAATTGTATTTCAGTTATATTAGGCAAACTTTCCCATACTGACATTTTAGAAA